GAGAGAGAGAGAGAGAGAGAGAGAGAGAGAGAGAGAGAGAATATACCTCCCATATAGCTGTCTTCGGATAATACGTAAGAATTTCGTTAAAATTTTTCTTCATTTCACGATAATCTTTATTTCAGTCACCCCCAATCCATTTTCTATCAGTCACCCATAAATCTAAATCTATACATTTTTTAATTTAAAAAAAATAAATTATTTTATCTTCCCACCAGAAATGCAAGCAGCGTAGCCACCAGACGGAGGCGGAAAAGGAACGCCCTGAGAGACAAAAAGTACCGATGGACAGACAATGTGATACCGTTTGAGTTATCCTCAAGTCTAAGTAAACACACCAGATTGTTTTTTTCATTAGCTGTAACAGTTGACAAGTTAAGCCCTTCCCCTGTTCAGGATCTCATCGTTGACCGAATACTGACAGATTTATTTCTTTATTTTTTAAATTTCTTTATTTCTTTCTTTCTTTCTTTTTTTTTTTATAAACTTATTTATCCATGAATTGATGAATCTATTATTTACTTATATTAGACTAATTAATTAATTACAATGTAACTAATTCTTTTCATTAATTAATTATTTTAGTAGAAATAAAAAAATACACTTCTGTCTGAAATAAAACCCAGCCTAAACACATTCACCAAAAAAAAATTTTTTTAATCCAAATTTGTTGTTATTAGTTTGTGGTTATACTATTTTTCTCTTCTTGTATTTTTGAACGTTTTTCAAACGATGGCAAGATTAATAGAAAACAAGATTTAAAGTGAGAAAACAGTTGCTTCTGATTTGAAATTGCACAAATATTCGAAAGGTATCTCTATTTCTTACCTATAGAGCAGTTTCCGGAGATTAGTTGGACTGACAACTATTCGACAGACACCACGAACACTCGTACTTGCTAACTCACACACACAGACACACACACAGACACACAGACACACACACACACACACACACACAAACAAACAAACAACGCACACGCACACACAGACAGACAGGCACACACACACACACACACACACACACACACACACACACACACACACACACGCACAATTTGAAATTCTGATTTCTTGAGCTAAGCTGCCGATTTAACCCCACAGAGCCCAATGCACCCCCAGTGATAATGGAAGCGATGCAGGAGTGGTCCATGTACACCTGCATCACGTTCCGACCTGCACAACCCACAGACACCAACAAAATCAGATTCGTGGATGGCTCAGGGTAGGGCATACACATTCAAGTGTGGGTGGTTGGCGGGTGCTCTTGCTCCTTCTTTCCTATAAAAAAAATCTATCGTCTCTATCTCCACTCCTTCTTCTTTGTGTTTGTTACTCTCTTGTAACACCTCTAATCTTTGGCTCTTATATGACCTTATCATGTTGCAAGTGCCGTAAAGCTATTGCTAAAACAAAAACACATTCAAGTATATATTTATATTTCAGTAGAGGTTTTTCGGTACTCGCAACTGAATAAGGTCATATGAGCGCCAAGGGGCTGACGTCAACAGAGAAGTCTTTACAAGGAATCAGGCGTGCTCTGCTCACCTCTCTAGCTTCAACAGCACAAAGTCTGTTTCGACTTTCAAGGCACCCTGGAAATAACGGGTCACAAGAGCGTGACAAACATACGAAAGAAGTAGGCGAAAAATGGCGAGAGTAAGGATTAGGAAAGAAAAAGCAGCAGTTCCCTGTTGTAGACCAGGCACAGTTATGAGCTTGACATTGATGAATCAGCCCATTTACAATTCTACTGTTCATGAACGAGGAATGTTCCCCCTTTGGGAATGGCCTTAAGACACTTCAGTCAGTGGCACCGCCCCGGGGGGTCATTCAAGTATCCAGATTGTGTTGCTACCATTTTATTTAATTGTGGAGGCGTTACTAACAACGGAAAAGTGTATGGTGGCTCCGTATGATGATACATATAAACGTTTGTTTTTTTCGTATTTGTTTGTTTGCTTATTTGTTTGTTTAATGGTAAAGGATGATGTGTAATATAGTTTGCTTAAATCAAATACAATCGCTGCCCCTTCCTACTCCTCCCTCTCTTCTTTCTCGTCGTCGTCGTCGTCCTCCTCCTCCTTTTCCTCCTCCTCCTCCTCCTCCTCCTCCTCCTCTCCTCCTCCTCCT